CGACAAATTCAAAGCTCGCTGGGTCGTGTGCGGCTTTGACCAGGAGCACGGAAGAGATTACACCGAAACCTTCGCTCCGGTCAGCCGTCACACCTCACTCCGAATCCTCATCGCCGCCGCCGCCATGAAGAAAAAGAAACTGCGACAAATCGACGTCGCAAACGCATTTCTCTACGCACCTGTGGATGCAGAAATCTTCGCCGAGCTCCCGCACGGCTCCCACGGCGAACCCAACCGAGTCTGTCAACTGCTTAAGTCGCTCTACGGGATCAAGCAGGCACCGCGACTGTGGCAGCAGTACCTACACGCCCGCCTCATTCGCATCGGTTTCAAACAACTCCCGCATGACCAGGGCATGTATCGCCTCACAAAGGGAAGTGACTACGTTCTCCTAATCGTCTACGTGGACGATCTCCTCTACATTGGGTCAACCGACGGCATCGCCACGTGGTTCGAAGGGGAGCTTCAGAAAGACCTCACGCTCACGGTCTCTTCTACCGTTACGCAGTACCTCGGGCTCAACATCCGCGAGGAAGAAAACCCAATCTATCTAAGCGCCGAGAAGTACGCCGACACCATCGCGAAACGCTTCAGCCTCACACCAAGCGCCATCTCCACGCCTTACCGCTACACGTCAGGAACCGAAAAGGGACGATCTACCCTACTCAAGCCCGCCGACATACGCGACTATCAGAAGAAGCTCGGATGTCTTCTCTTCGCAGCAGTCACATGCCGTCCCGACTTATCCTACTCCGCGAGCCAGCTCGCCACCTATCTCAAGAAGCCTGAAGCAGAGCATCTGGCGGAACTCGATCGCGCTCTCCACTATTTCGTCAGCACCGCGACGATCGGATTAACTTATCACAAAAACGCAACTACACCGACCAAGCTAATCGGCTACGTCGACGCCGATCACGCCGGCGACACCGATAACAGGCGCTCACGCACCGGCTATGTCTACCGCCTCGAGCCTATCGGTCCTATCTCCTGGCAGTCGAGTAAGCAGGAGTTAATCGCATTGTCTTCAGCTGAAGCGGAATATATTGCACTCTGCTCAGCCACCAAGGAGGGACTTTACCTTCGCGAACTGCTGGAAGAAGCGAAGTTAGTCGAGTTACCCAGCTTCACCGTGTTCTGCGACAACCAGTCAGCAATTCGCATCGCCAACAAGAACGGCTTCGCAAACAGGACGAAACACATCGCCCTGCGCTATTTCTTCGTGAAGGACGAGATCGAAAAGGGGAAACTCGATCTGTCATACTGTCCCACGTCTGAGATGGCAGCCGATTACTTGACCAAGAAGCTCAGAAAGCAGAAGTTCGAATACTGCATGCTGCTGACTGGACAAGGCCACGTCACCTACGGCGACACTCCAGAAGCGAAGGGGAGTGTTGGAAACAATAAGTATTAGTGCGCTTCTGTCGTGTCAAAACCCAAGACACTAGCGAAGCAGTCCGAATCGAAGCATCGAGTCAAACCTCGGAGGTTAGGGTAACCGCCTGGAGGTTACGGGAAAGTCAAAGGTCAGCGACCTTTGACTCGACAATTACAGCGCGACAGTTAAGGACACACAACTGACTCGTTACAGAGCAGTTGCCCGAGTCGCACTGTATCGAATCGCAACAGCAAATACAGTTATCTATCCATTCGTATTCCCTGTACTCTTATATAAAACCTTGTATTTGCTTGTTTAATTTAATCCACTTTGCTCTCACACACTAGTGCAAGGTCGACTCACAAGTTTCATTAAACGCTTCCGCTATTACAAAGTTTCTTACCCAGAGTCATCCTCTGCAAAGATCCTTAAGGGCTTTCTCAGCCCAACAGTTACAAGGGAAAACGAAACATTAGTTACAAGAGAAACAAAACGTAATAAGGGTACAAGAAGCGCACCTAGTCTCTAAACTCAACCTTTCTCAGCCTCGTTGCATACGCCAACGAGGCAGGTGGCTCAAGAATCTTGTCGCACGATCGCACAATGAGAACTTCTAACGACTTGAGCAGACCCAAATCTTCGGGCAACCCTGTCAATTCCGCACACCCCGAAACCAGCAGGTAGGAGAGAGCCGCCGCTTGGACTAGAGATCCGGGCAGGGCTGCCAGGCCCTTGCAGTTTTCCAATGAAAGTTTTCTTAGAGATGGCATCTGACCGATATTTGCGGGCAGGGAGAATATTAAAGGGCAGGAGGAGATTATGAGTTGCTCCAATGACGTAGAGGTGCAGAGAGAGTTTGGAAGCTCTTTCAGTGCTGTGCAGCGAGACAACTCCAGGCAGGAAAGTTTCTTAAGCTGACCGAGATCTTCAGGCAGCAAAGAAAGGGCAGTGCAGCTGAACAGAGCAAGGCGAGAGAGCGAGGGGAGGAGGAGGTGCAGCGAATCAGGAAGGCGTGTCAACTTCTTGCAGAACGCAACCCTCATTTCCTGCAGCTTTGCCAGCTGGCACACGGCCACTTGGTCTGACACCTGGCAAGGCGCCAGCTGGCGCGAGGGACAGCTGGAAGTGGGAGAGAGCAAGGGACAGCTGGCGATAAAAGCGTTCGTCGTGCAAGGGTGGTGGTTGAAGGCAGGGAAAGGGAGGGAGAGGAGGGAGGAGAAGCGACGAACGGAGAGCGTTTGGAGGCTGGTGAGGCGGGAGAGGGAGGAGGGAAGGGCTGAGATGCTGCTGCTGCGGGCTAGCTCAATGTGAGTGAGGGACGGTGGGAGGAAGAGAGGTGCGGTTGTTGCATCCAAATTTCTTGGACCAGGATCAGCAGGAATGGAATCAGGAGTGGCAGGAAGTGGGGGGTTTTGAGCAGCAGTAGCAGCAGCAGGAGGAAAATCCGGAGCAGCAGGAGCAGCGGGAGTGGCTGTAGCAGTTGTAGCGCCCATATCCAGTAGCAGTTGGTCTAAACACGGAAAGTGATCCAACACGAGGTGCATCAAACGAGGCTGCTGCTGCAACAGCAGTCTTGGCACATTTGCAAGCGATTTGCAACCCTTCAATATAAGAACCTCCAGGTTTCGCAGATCTTGTGCAGAGGAGGGTAAGGCGGTCAGCTTGGCGAGTTTTAAGAGCTCGAGATGGGTCAAGGAGGACAGGTTTCCTAACGCTGTAGGGAGACACTCTATACTGAAGCATTTTTGGAGAGAGATGAGTTTCAGGTTGGGTAGAGAGCAGATGGATTCTGGAAGGTGGCTGATTTTTAGACAGTCAGTCAGTCTCAGCTCCTCTAGTTTCTGCAGCTGCCCGATTTCTTCGGGCAGGTTCTTGAGCCAATTGCAGATGCTCAGGTCAAGGGAATGAAGGTTTTGGAGGGAGGAGACGGACGATGGGAAGGTGTCTAGCCAATAGGCATGCCGCAATTCAAGCTTGCGAAGACCGGGCAGCCTGCAGAAAGAATCAGGTAGCTCTGTCGAAAAGGACCCCCCAGCTAGCGTGAACGTTTGCAAAGCTTTCAACTGCATGAAATTCTGGGGCAGGTCGAAGAGATTGGAGCAATGGGAGATGTTGAGGGTAGTGAGAGCGGGCAGTTGGGTGAGAGATTCGGGCAGCTGAGGAAGACTGGAGCAATAAACCAGCTCCAGCTTTGTCAGGGACGACAGCTGCCCGATAGATTCGGGCAGTGCGCAAAGTTTCCAGCACCAAAGGGAGAGCTCTTGCAAGCAGGATAGGGAGCTTAGATTCTCAGGGAATTCAAGCAGACAGCTGGACTGAATGTGCAGTAAACGAAGGGAGGAGAGGACTGTAAGGGAAGATGGCATGACTGTGATTTTATTGATGCATCCGTCCAGATACACCTCCCTCAGTTGCGACCTGAACGCCTGAAAAAACGCGTTAAGATCTGATTCGCTGATGGATAGATGTGGAGATGTGAGCGGGGAAAACGTAATGGAGGCTAGAGCTGGGCAGGCGAGTGGGAGGCGGGAGAGGAAGCTTCCTTGGTAGGCTTCTAAGCAGTTGGGTGACGTCGCAAGGCGACTGAGATAAGGGAATCTGGATAGGTATTTAAGGAGGTAAGCGATTCTATTGGGACGTTCTAGGTTGCTGTAGTTGAATCTTGAATTGTCGTTGCCTCTAAAATTATCGTGAACGGTACCCGTGCTGCTGCTGGTGCTGCCGCTGGTGCCAGTTTTAGTGCTGCTGCTGCTGGTTCTGCTGCTTCCGCTGACATTGCGGCCGACGCTTCTGCACGGAGGAGGCGGCTTCTGAGCGCCGAGAGAGGCGAAGAACGCGGAGGGAATGGAGGTTTGAATGAGACAAGCGACGCGAAGCCATCGCTTGCAAACAAGCGAAAGACGAAGCGGGGGAGAGTCGTTGACGGAAGCTAGACGGAGGACGGAGCTCAGGAGGTCATCTGATAAGCGGTCGACTGGCGGAGACGCCGCGTCAGGAGATGTCAGCATATCGTCTGGCAAACAGCTGGAAGCAACGGTCGAGGATCCGTCTAACGACGTATCGGAATAACACGGCATCTCTGATTTAAAAGGATAACCGGGTGCAAGAGCTAACCGAAGTAACTGAAGGATGCGAAACGGGCGGGAGGGATGTAACCGAGGTATTGATGTGAGAAGACTAACTAATAATGGCTAACCTTGTGGTGATTAGATGACGAAGGTGTCGTTAGAGCAGACCGCGCTTGGTGTGACAGGAACGAGGAAATCGCGTGTCAGACGAACTCATTTAGAACTGGAGAGATTTCTGTCAGGTTTTCCAACTCTCGGTGTCAGAAAAGGCTCGTTGCTTGTCTGCACCTCAGTCACAGACTCCACCATTACATTGAGAATACGCCCTGAGTGCAGAAAGACCAGGGACCAGTGACCACAAGTAAACATGAAATCGGCCAACATTATTGATTTACAAAAGACAGACTGGACACATTCTCACATTTCCTTACGCAATATTCTCAAGGGTAGCTCTAGTAACTAAACCATTTCACCCAGCATGATTCATACTGAATAAGCGTTTTATTTACCACTGCAAAAAACTCAAACGCACATCAGTGCCAGCACCAGACCCAACATCATTCATTCCCGACTGCAGGGGTCCCACTCCGCCACCCGGCAAACGACAGCTGCCCTTCAAGCGTGGGGGAATCATCCACTGACGCTCCGAGAGGAGAGAAGACGGCCGACTCGCACCGCCGAACCAGCGGATCAGATGTCACCAGCACATCACGTGCAAGCACTGCCGGCCTGCACTTAGAACTAGCAGCAGCGCTGCTGCCACCAGCAGCACCAGCAGCAGTGGCAGCAGCAGCCACAGCAGCAGCCATAGCAGCAGTGGCAGCAGCACTAGCAGACCCATCAGCAGGGATATTGCCATCAGCTGTAGCAACTCCTCTCTCTGCCCTCACTCCCCGACCTCCTCGCCCTCTGCTCCTCCCTGTCCTGTACCCTCCCCCTCCTCCTCCCTTTCCACCGCCTCCTGCTGCCCCTCCTCCTCCTCCCCTCCGCCTCTCCTCCCTCTCCCTCCTCCTCTCCTCCCTCCCATCCACTTCCCCCACCGCCAAACCTGCCATCCCAGCCATGGCAGGCGAGCTCCTCGACCTATCAAACTCCGCCACGCGGGCACGCAGGTTCGGCGACCGGTTCGGCGACAGGTTCGGCATGAGGTGCAGCTTCGGCAGATCGACCCTGAGCCTCCGCATCACATATGCTAACAGCTCCTCCTTATGTGCAAACGTGAAGTCCAGATGTGCATACTCAAACTCCCGGTACGACGCCTGCCGCCCGGCGGCCTTCAGCGTCTTGTAGTGCCAGTGGACCATCTCCCGGGGAATAAGACGGTCGCGCCGCCCGGCGACAACATCAATGGGGATATCAATAAGACGGTAATACGCTCCAATGTCGACTGCTTCGGGGGAGCCGTACACTGCGAGGTTTGCTGCGGGTGAGCCGTAGTCGAACATGATGAATCGGCGCTCGCGCTTGGTGAGAGCGAGGTGCTTCATGACGTTGTAGGCTATGCCAGGCATGTTGTACATGTTGTAATGGGGTTGCCTCAAAGCGCCCACCCAGTCGGACGAATCTCCCCCCACTATGATGTTCGAGATCAGAACCTGGAGCAAGAAAAAGGGGGGAGAGAGGCGGAAAGAAAGAGCTGCAGCGATCAGCAGCGGTAGCAGTTGCTGGCGGTGAGCCGTAGTCGAACATGATGAATCGGCGCTCGCGCTTGGTGAGAGCGAGGTGCTTCATGACGTTGTAGGCTATGCCAGGCATGTTGTACATGTTGTAATGGGGTTGCCTCAAAGCGCCCACCCAGTCGGACGAATCTCCCCCCACTATGATGTTCGAGATCAGAACCTGGAGCAAGAAAAAGGGGGGAGAGAGGCGGAAAGAAAGAGCTGCAGCGATCAGCAGCGGTAGCAGTTGCTGGCGGTGAGCCGTAGTCGAACATGATGAATCGGCGCTCGCGCTTGGTGAGAGCGAGGTGCTTCATGACGTTGTAGGCTATGCCAGGCATGTTGTACATGTTGTAATGGGGTTGCCTCAAAGCGCCCACCCAGTCGGACGAATCTCCCCCCACTATGATGTTCGAGATCAGAACCTGGAGCAAGAAAAAAGGGGGGAGAGAGGCGGAAAGAAAGAGCTGCAGCGATCAGCAGCGGTAGCAGTTGCTGGCGGTGAGCCATAGTCGAACATGATGAATCGGCGTTCGCGCTTGGTGAGAGCGAGGTGCTTCATGACGGTGTGAGTGATGCCAGGCATGTTGTACATGTTGTAGTGCAGCAGCTGGCGCAGCGCTCCCACCCAGTCAGAGGAATCCCCCCTACGATGATATTGGAGATGAGCACCTGTGTGTTGGACGTGGGATAAGGGAGACAGGAGGGAGAAGGGAAAGCGAGGTGCTTCATGACGTTGTCTGCGATGCCAGGCATGTTGTACATGTTGTAGTGCGGCTGGCGTAGGGCTCCCACCCAGTCAGGGAGTCCCCTCCCACAATGATGTTCAAGATCAGCACCTCTGACAGTTGGGGAGGAGAGAGAGAGTAAGAGAGAAATGGTATCCAGGGCATGTTGTACATGTAAAAGAGCTGGCGCAGGCCCTGGGTGGGGATGTAGATGGCCGGCACATATATCAATTTACACAGGCACAGCCACTCTGCCACGCACCCACACACAGCCACATCCACAAATGTATCCATGCACAGCCACACACACACAGCCACACACACACAGCCACACACACACAGCCACACACACACAGCCACACACACCTGCACCAGACACCTCAACGCGGGGAGGTTCTGAAAGTCCTGTGCAGGCTAGATTGTATAAGGGCAGGCGCAGGCCTTGGGTGTTTGTTTTTGTCAACTAAAAAAACTAGCCCTGGAAGGGGATGTAGACGGCCGGCAAACAACCACACTGCACTGCACATGCCCTCACCCACACATATCTGCACACTCACACCCACACACGAATACACCTGCAACAGCCATACCTGCACCAGGCACCTCAAGGCAGGGAGGTTCTGAAAGTCCGGTGCTAGCTTGCTGAAGAGCAGACGCAAGCCGTGGGTGGGGATGTAGACTGCTGGCACACACATCTATGATACACCGGCACACGCATAGATGTACCCATGCACACACATACACACACCTGAACCAGGCAGCGCAATGCAGGCAGGTTTTGAAAGTCCTGAGCTAGCTTGTTGAAGAGCAGGCGCAGGCCCTGCGTGGGGATGTAGACGGCTGGTACGGAGTGGGAGAGCCACGAGTCGACGTATGGCATGAGGAAGAGCATCACATCGAATAGGAGGGGGGTCTTCTCGTGGTAGCCTGTGGGGAGTGGGGGGGGAAGGGAGGATTGACAGGAAAACGGGAGGCACATAGCGGTGTGAGCACGGAATGGGAGAGCCACGAGTCGACGTATGGCATGGGGGAGAGCACTACGTCAAAGAGGAGAGGAGTCTTTTCATGGTAGCCTGTGGGGAGAAGGAGGGATGGATGGGGAGGAATGGCAGGGAGGGGCACGATGGAGGGAGGGAAGGGGGCTGGACGAGAGGGTGGAAGCGGTTGAGACGAAGAGGGTGAGACGACAAATGGGTGGGTCCGAGAGGGGGGAAGCGGTTGAGACGACGAGAGGTGAGACGAAGAGGGTGACACGACGAGAGGTGAGACGACGAGGGTCAGACGACGAGAGGTGAGACGACGAGGGTCAGACGACGAGAGGTGAGACGACGAGGGTCAGACGACAAATGGGTGGGTCTGACTGCTTATTCAACCAGCAGCAGTGAGACTCCTTATCCAATCAGCAGTGAATCCTAGAGGGGTCTCACCGGCAGGTGAACTCAACGGCGGGGGAGAGGAGAATGAGAGGAATGGCACTCACCAGCGGGGGAGAGGAGGATGAGGCGGGAGAGGCGGTGGGGCTGTTTCCGGATTAGCTGGGTGACGAGGTAGATCATCATGGCTGCCCCTCCCAGGCTGTGCGCCACTGCCTGCAGATGGTACGGCTGCTCCTCACTCCATGGTACCCCCTGCTGCTGCCCCTGCTGCTCCCCTTGCTGTTGCCCCTGCTGCTGCCCCTGCTGCTGTTGCTGCTTCTGATCTGAAGCCTCTGCAGCACTTGTTGCTGCTGTTCCTGCTGCTGCTGCTGCTGCTGCTGCTGTCTCCCCATCCCTTCTATCCCCCTCCATCTCCGCCTCCCTCATCTCCTCCTCTCGCCTCTCCCTCAGAGCATCTATCAGCGACACAGGAGCAGGCCTCACCTCGTGCCACCCTGGCTGCCACGTCATCACGCCATCCTGCATCGTCTGGCTGCCAGGTGTCCACCCAGAACCACCTGTACCCGATTGTGGCTTGTCCCGATACAGCGTATCAGCACCTCCTGCTGCTACTCCTGTATCGAAACCGTGACTATGTACAGCAGGCCCAGGGTGCAAGGATGAGTCACTGTGTACAAGGCCCAGGGCATCTAATGCTTCTGAAGGGCTACGCTGCCGCCACTCGTGCTGCTCCTGGCTCTGCTGGGGGTTCACGGCTTGCTGCTGCTGCTGCTGCTGCTGCTGCTGCTGCTGAGGTGGGACGAGAGAGGGACGGGGAGGAGGGGCGAGGTCGCGGATCTTGGTGTGGTGGATGCAGTCTATCATGGCTCGTATGTCACACATGCCATGCTCGTTCACGCTGTAGTTCCAGTACCTGGTGTGGAAGAGAGGGGGAAAAGAGAGGAAAGAGAGGGGGCAGGAGGCACGGAATTGGTATCTTGGTGTGATGGTTGCAATCGATCGTTGCTCGGACGTCACATTTTTTATTCGACTCAAAAAGGGAGAGCATGCATGTGTGTCGGTGTGTGGAGTATTTTTGAGAATTCTCAGCCATGAAGTTAGGCGAGCAGCAGTCTACATCGCCAAGGGAGAGCATGCATGTGTGTCGGTGTGTGGTGGATGCAGTCTATCACTGCTCGAATGTCACACATGCCGTGCTCGTTCACGCTGTAGCTCCAGTACCTGGTGATGGTGGGGCAAGGGGGAAAGGAGCGGGTAAAGAGGAGGCAGGAGGCAGAGCATATCGATGCAGCGAATTATGGCTCGTATGTCACACATGCCATGCTCGTTCACGCTGTAGCTCCAGTACCTGAGGTAGGGGAAGGGAGTGAACAGGCAAGTATCAGAATCGTCTCTGGCACAGAGTAACAGACACTATTCTAAATGAGGATACACATGATCAGATGTTGAAGTTTTATGCTCATGCTCGTGCTCGTGATTTCGTGATTACGTGATGTCGTGATTTCGTCCACTCCACCACCCACGCACCTGCTGGCAGAGATGCGCAGATCCACGTGCTGCCTCGTGACATAGCCCCGCATGTTGCTCTCAACACATGACCTCACATGCAGCCCACTCGTCCCCCACCCACCCCACCTGCTGGCAGAGATGCGCAGATCCACGTGCTGCCTCGTGACATAGCCCCGCATGTTGCTCTCAACACATGACCTCACATGCAGCCCACTCGTCCCCCACCCACCCCACCTGCTGGCAGAGATGCGCAGATCCACGTGCTGCCTCGTGACATAGCCCCGCATGTTGCTCTCAACACATGACCTCACATGCAGCCCACTCGTCCCCCACCCACCCCACCTGCTGGCAGAGATGCGCAGATCCACGTGCTGCCTCGTGACATAGCCCCGCATGTTGCTCACAACACATGACCTCACATGCAGCCCACTCGTCCCCCACCCACCCCACCTGCTGGCAGAGATGCGCAGATCCACGTGCTGCCTCGTGACATAGCCCCGCATGTTGCTCTCAACACATGACCTCACATGCAGCCCACTCGTCCCCCACCCACCCCACCTGCTGGCAGAGATGCGCAGATCCACGTGCTGCCTCGTGACATAGCCCCGCATGTTGCTCTCAACACATGACCTCACATGCAGCCCACTCGTCCCCCACCCACCCCACCTGCTGGCAGAGATGCGCAGATCCACGTGCTGCCTCGTGACATAGCCCCGCATGTTGCCCAGAAACACGTCGAAGCCTGGAAGTTGGAGGGAAACAAGAGAAAGGAGAAGCCAGGGTAAAGATGGGAAGGGAAGGGAATTGAAGGAAAGGGAAGGGAATTCAAGGAAAGGGAATGGAATTGAAGGGAAGGGAAGGGAAGGGAAGGGAAGTGAAGGGAAGGCAAGGGAAGAGAAGGGAAAGGACAGGACCGAAAAGTGGGTGGGGAAGAGACAGGGGCGGGGACATGAATGGGAAGAGGATCAGAAAAAGTAAGAAAAACAAAACTACGAGCAAAAAAAAAAAAAAACACACGGGAAAGTGAGAATGAAACACGCTGGCGGCGCCTCTCACTCACCTTGGTCGTAGGCTGCGAATGCTTGAGATCCCACCACACCATTGGAAACCCACCTGTGAAGAAACATGTGAGAAGAAACAAGCAGGATCATAAGACACGCGAAGCACACACAAACCAGGTCTTGAGCCACTTGCACTCATAACCAAAGCACCCACCCACGCGAGATTTAGACATATCTCAGTGAGCTGCGTGCGTGTAGCAGGCTTAAAGCAAATCACAAACCAGGTCTTGAGCCACTTGCACTCATAACCAGAGCACCCACCCACCGGTCCCCCCTGGCACTCACCTGATGCTTTCACTCAATGCTCCTCCCCTTCCCCCCCTCACCCAATGGAGCTGTCGAGAATGCCATGCTGCAGAAGCACCACCCTGGATGAGTCTTTTCCTCAAAATGAAAACCCCAAGCACTCAACATGCACTCACACATTGCATCCCTGGTCCCCGTGCTAACGCTCACCCAATGGAGCTGTCTAGAATGCCGTGCTGCAGGAACACCACCCTCAAAGAGTCCTTCCTTGGGATTCGCTCCAACGTGAGCACATACCCATCCTCTGTCACCACCTTGATGGCCTCGTACGGGTACCTGGTGTGCGCATAGGAGCAAGGAGGAACAAAACAGAGGTACATGAAGAATATGCAAGCCTGCATGTTCGAGTTTGAGCCTTTCCTTAATGGAGAATATAGCATGGATGTGAGTATGTGTCCTTCTCAGGGTGCGCTCCAGACTGAGCAGTGAGCACGTACCCATCCTCGGTCACCACCTTGATGGCCTCGTACAATTCCTGGTGGGAAGATGGGAAAGGTGCCATGTAGAGGAGAAATGAGCGCAAGTGGACACATGTACTTGGGTCTGTCTGTACTTGGGTCTGTCTGTACTTGGGTCTGTCTGTACTTGGGTCTGTCTGTACTTGGGTCTGTCTGTACTTGGGTCTGTCTGTACTTGGTTCTGTCTGTACTTGGGTCTGTCTGTACTTGGGTCTGTCTGTACTTGGGTCTGTCTGTACTTGGGTCTGTCTGTACTTGGGTCTGTCTGTACTTGGGTCTGTCTGTACTTGGGTCTGTGTGTACTTGGGTCTGTCTGTACTTGGGTCTGTGTGTACTTGGGTCTGTGTGTACTTGGGTCTGTGTGTACTTGGGTCTGTCTGTACTTGGGTCTGTCTGTACTTGGGTCTGTCTGTACTTGGGTCTGTCTGTACTTGGGTCTGTCTGTACTTGGGTCTGTCTGTACTTGGGTCTGTCTGTACTTGGGTCTGTCTGTACTTGGGTCTGTCTGTACTTGGGTCTGTGTGTACTTGGGTCTGTCTGTACTTGGGTCTGTGTGTACTTGGGTCTGTGTGTACTTGGGTCTGTGTGTACTTGGGTCTGTCTGTACTTGGGTCTGTCTGTACTTGGGTCTGTCTGTACTTGGGTCTGTCTGTACTTGGGTCTGTCTGTACTTGGGTCTGTCTGTACTTGGGTCTGTCTGTACTTGGGTCTGTCTGTACTTGGGTCTGTGTGTACTTGGGTCTGTCTGTACTTGGGTCTGTCTGTACTTGGGTCTGTGTGTACTTGGGTCTGTGTGTACTTGGGTCTGTGTGTACTTGGGTCTGTGTGTACTTGGGTCTGTCTGTACTTGGGTCTGTCTGTACTTGGGTCTGTGTGTACTTGGGTCTGTGTGTACTTGGGTCTGTGTGTACTTGGGTCTGTGTGTACTTGGGTCTGTGTGTACTTGGGTCTGTGTGTACTTGGGTCTGTGTGTACTTGGGTCTGTGTGTACTTGGGTCTGTGTGTACTTGGGTCTGTGTGTACTTGGGTCTGTGTGTACTTGGGTCTGTGTGTACTTGGGTCTGTGTGTACTTGGGTCTGTGTGTACTTGGGTCTGTGTGTACTTGGGTCTGTGTGTACTTGGGTCTGTGTGTACTAGGTTGGGGGTTCTTCTCACTCCAGTGTGAGCACATACCCATCCTCGGTCGCCACCTTAATGGCCTCGTAGGGGTACCTGTTGTGGGGAGAGGAGAGTGGAGTGGCATGCATGAATGCAGGAGTTGAGGGTGCATATACTTCTAATTCTATCCAGCGTGCTTATGGGCCACTGCGCTCCAGTGTGAGCACGTACCCGTCCTCAGTTACCACCTTGATGGCCTCGTAGGAGTACCTGGTGGGGGAAGAGAGAGGTATGAGTGCATGAGTGCATGAGATGAGAGTATGGGTCCTTCTCGGGATTCGCTCTAGTGTGAGCACGTACCACCTTGATGGCCTTGTAGGGGTACCTGACGGGGGAGGAAAGGTGTGGGTGAAGAAAAGGGGGGTGTGAGTGAGCGCACGGGTTCACGGGGATTCTCTCTCTCTCCGATGCGCTCCATTGTGAGCACGTACCCGTCCTCAGCCACCACCTTGATGGCCTCGTAGGGGTACCTGGTGGGGCGGTACGAGCAAGGAGGAAAACAGAAGACATGTGAGTGTATGCAAGCCTGCTTGCAAAAGTAGTTGTACAATGGTGACTACAACCTATCCAGCTCTCACCCAGCGTCCCTAATGATATCTTCACACGTCCGTCCATCCATGAGCCGTGCGTGGCTGATGCAGTGACTCAGCCCGCCTTTTAAGATGCCTCACTCGTAGACAACGACAACAAATAACAACCGCCACGTCACAACGACAAGCTATCCAGCACTCACCCAGCGTCTCGAATGATATCTTCACATGTCCGGGCGTCCATGAGCCGCGGCCCATGCAGCAGCGCCTCAGCGAGACTGCCGTTTGGTTACAAGGACGACTCCTAACAGGTACAATATACCACCAAGCCCATTCTCACCCAGCATCTCGGATGATATCTTCACACGTCCGTGCGTCCATGAGTCGCGGTCCATGCAGCGCCTCAGCTTGCCGCAGCCGCTGCTGCTGCTGCCACCGGCTCTGCCCCTGCTGCTGCTCGTTCTGCTGCTGCTGCCGCTCGTGCTCCTCCTGCTGCTGCATCTGCAGCTGCGACAGGTGCGCCGCCGACCTACTCTCGGGTGCCACATCTGCTGCTGGTGCACTGAACGCAGCAGCACCCCAACCCCCACTGGCATCAGCACCACCAGCAGCAGCCCCCCCAGCAGCAGATGCGGCAGCTTCAGGTGAGGGTTGAAGGCCCTGTGAGGGCGCGACTGGGAGGCCTAGGAGGCGCAGCAGCGGAGTGAAGAGGAAGGAGAGGAGCCGCCAGGGGAAGAGGCAGAAGAGCAGCACCGACCGCACGGCATCAAAGAAGCGCTCAATCACGAGCTCCCAGAAGAGCTGCAGATCCTCCAACACGCCATGCCTGCATGGGCCATACCAAAAGAAAGAAACGGTAAGGAGCTGAAGAGGAAGGAGAGGAGCCGCCAGGGGAAGAGGCAGAAGAGCGGCACTGACCGCACGGCATCAAAGAAGCGCTCAATCACGAGCTCCCAGAAGAGCTGCAGATCCTCCAACACTCTGTGCCTGCACAGACAGAAGAGGTGGGGGGTACAGTACGGTGAGGAGATGGATCATTCGCCTGCAGTTAAGACCAGCTCCCTCTAAACGAGACGACCACACGGCATCACAGAAGCGCTCGATGACCAGCTCCCAGAAGAGCTGTAGATCCTCCAACACCCCGTGCCTGCACAAACCATGCATATCACACAAAGGCGCAGCAGCGGAGTGAAGAGGAAGGAGAGGAGACTCCAGGGGAAGAGGCAGAAGAACAGCACCGACCAATCACCAGCTCCCAGAAAAGCTGTAGATCCTCCAACACGCCATGCCTGCATGGGCCATACATATTATACAAAGGAGCAGGAGTGGAGTGAAGCACCGAGCGCACGGCATCAAAGAAGCGCTGAATGACCAGCTCCCAGAAGAGCTGCAAGTCCTCCAACACGCCGTGCCTGCAGAGACAGAATAAAAGAGGGCATGTGCAGTGCAGCAGGTAGGTTGTAAATCATCTACTCAATCACGTGCTTGCAAATGAAACCACCGACCGCACGGCGTCAAAGAAGCACTCGATCACCAGCTCTCAGAGGGCATGGTCATACAGACGCTACATCTTACCTGCGGAAATCATTCAGGTGGTTCATGTTGAGATGCGTCATGTACTCAAACACGTCCCCCAGTCGCTTCCCCAGATCCACACTCGCAATCGACAGCTGGCGCGAGAGACTGCTGGAGCTGCTGCTGCGGCTGTGCGGGCCGAACCTAGGGCTGAAGATCGGGTAACCAGGCCAGGCCTGGACGGGGGTGGCAGGAGGGGAGGCAGTAGTACTATCATCAACGGCAGTTGGAGCAAGCGTATCAGCATCAGCAGCATCAGCAGCAGCAGCAGCAGCAGCATCAGCAGCGGCGGTGCCTGCTCCTCTGGCTTTGTACATGTCTGGTGCTGCTGCTGTTGCTGCAGCTGCGGCTGCTCCTTCCGAGGATACTGCTGCTAGTGCCCCAGCAGCAGCTGCTGCAGCAGCAGCGGAGACGGCGGTAGCAGCAGCAGCGGCAGCGGCAGTGGTGGCGGGAGCAGAAGAGAGGGTGGGCGTACTATGGGAAGAGGGGGAGGGGGTTTGGGGTGAGGCCGAGGGGTCGAAGGAGGAGAAAGACGGGGGATGGGGCATCTGGCGACGAATGGTAGGATCTACGGTGCTGGGAGGCCTGCCTCGATCATCCAACGGCTGTTGTTGATTGAGTTGATGGTGGTTCCCTAGATGCTGCTGCTGCTGTTGCTGCTGCTGTTCCTGGTGGTGATGTGGCTGCTGATGCTGATGCTGCTGCTGCTGATGGTGGTGGTGGTAGTGGTGGTGGTGGTGGTGTTGCTTACCATGCCCATCCGCAACCCTGAACCCAAACACCCACAGCAGCGGCCACAGGAAAAACAAAACCCACCTCCACAGCCATCCCCAAATCCCCGTAGCATCCCCCACTCCATTCCTCTCCCCAACCCCACTCCTCTCCCTCAAAAACGGACTAGGCGATCTGCTTCTGTCGAAGCTGCTGCTGCTGCGACTAAGGGGACTCCCAGGCAGAGAGTCAAACGCACCCCTCCTTCCTCCTCCTCCACCTCCACCCATGCCCCTCCTCCTCCTCCTTGCTGTTCCCCCTCCTCCCCTGCTGCTACTGCTGCTACCAATGCTGTGCATCGACGCCCTGTCGTCGTCGTCATCCTCGTTATTGTCCTCCTCGCTATCCGTGTCGCTGTCCTCGTTTTCGTCGTCCCCGTTACCGTAGTTGGAGCTGGAGTCGAGGTGGAACTCGTCTATAGTGTCGACGAACTCGTGTAGAAAAGCATTCAAAGAGGAACCACCCCTGTTGGAAGGGAAGGGAAGAGCAAGACAGAAGAGGGAACAGAAGAGCAGGGAAGTGGAGAGCAGAGACCAGGGGAAGAGACAGAGTGGGAAACGGATGAAACGCGTTCAGGGAGGAACCACCTCTGTCTGTTTGGAGTGGAAGGAGGAGCAGACCAGGGAAGAGAGAGATAGAATAGGATACGGATGAGTAAGAAACACGGAGGAAAAGGGAGCGGAAACCTGAGTAGGAGAATGGAAAAAACCAAGAGCAAGGACGCAAATGCAGGGTAACGGAATCCCACTAGAGAGTATTTATCATATCTCCAAATCCCAATCACCACAGCAGCGCAGCTGCACTGTAACGTACTGCGCCATCCAGGCGGGCAGGCACAGGGAGCGAAGGGCAGGAAGAAAAAGAGTACCTTCTGTCTAATCTAAATCCACCCTCCCCACCCCCTCTCCCCCCCTCCCCACCCCCTTTCCTCCCCAGCTACAATACAGCGTACTGGGCCATCCAGGCGGGGAGGCGGGGGGAGCGGAAGGTGGGGCGGAGGTCCCAGGAGCCATGGAGCCCTTCGGTGATGGGCGACTTGTTGGGCAGACACGCCAGCACCAGCGCAGTCGGCCACGCCATTCACTCACCCATCCATCATGCACCTGAACCCACGTATGCACTGTGCCATACCACCCAGGCGGGGAGGCGAGGGGGAAGCGGACGGCAGGACAAAGAGAACCTTCCCTTCCCTCTGCAATGAATCTCTTTCCCCCCCCTCCCCAGCAACTATGAATGAAACGTACTGGGCCATCCAGGCGGGGAGGCGGGGGGAGCGGAAGGTGGGGCGGAGGTCCCAGGAGCCATGGAGCCCTTCGGTGATGGGCGACTTGTTGGGCAGACACGCCAGCACCAGCGCTGACGCCGAGTTGACTCGCCCATCCATCCATCCATCACGCACGTGAACCCACGTATGCACTGAGCCATGCCAGGTGCGGGTAGCGGATAGCAGGGCAAGAGTACCTTCTGCCTACCATTTCCTCTGCTGTAAAGCTCTTCCCCCTTCCCCCCCAACACCCCCAGCTACAATACAACGTACTGGGCCATCCAGGCGGGGAGGCGCGGCGAGCGGAAGGTGGGGCGGAGGTCCCAGGAGCCATGGAGCCCTTCGGTGATGGGCGACTTGTTGGGCAGACACGCCAGCACCAGCGCTGACGCCGAGTTGACAAAGTTGGCCGTGTTGTGGAACGCCTCGCGAGATGCGGCTTTGACGGACCTGTAAACGTTGACAGAAAACGTGACAGAAAACGCGATGGACGGAAAAAAACACGAGTTCGGGTAGAGACCAGGTAGAGTGATTGCGCACCCACGACTTATTCATATTTTTTTTTCCAAGGCGCCTCAAGATAGCCAGATGCAATTGGAGTCTGGACGTATCCTGGACTCGGGACGGATACGTGACGGATTCCGTTTTCAGACCTCTGGATCGACTCTGTAACCTGACATCCATTTCTTGCGGATGATCAAAACAGAGAATCCCTGATGCCAAGGCTTTGGAACAGATGACATACAGTGGAGATGGATTAAAAACGGTAACTTTGGGACTCCAAAAACTACTACAAACAGATGTCTGGATCCCATGCCGCGAAGCTCGAAACAAGAGAACGAGGAAACGGAAACGAGGAAGAAAGAAAGTGATACCATGAGGACGACACAAAAGAAACTGGATGTAACAGTGTCACACGAATTCTTTCCTCTGCCTCGCAGCGGCTCTGACGGTCTTCTGAGACGCCTCAAATACAACAGACTCAAAGCAAACGCGGAATCTGAGTCAAGACAAAGAAAGGGCTCTAACGGCGTGATGTGGGTACGGATTCAAGCTGAACCTACTCCTTGGCCACTCCCACGGCGTGGTCCACTATCCTCTGCATCCTTTTGAGTCGACTCAAAACTTAGTTCCCACGCGCAAGAACTCTAACGGCATGAGTTGAATGAGGACCAAAACGGAACTTACTCCTTCGCCACCCCGACGGCGTGATCCACTATCCTCTGCATCCTTCCCTGCTGAGAGACAACTCCTGAAGCCAGGCAACCAGGAAGTAAACGAAGCTGACCTTCGGCCTACAGTTTAGCGACTAAGTCGACTAAGTGAATTAATGAAACACGGGCGGTATCATCGTAGCACTCTGACCATTGTTCCTAAATGAGAAGCTCTAAACGGCTTCCGGCCTACGCGCTGATAGATCCCTGTATGGCAGCTTCCAGCGAGACACGCGAGACAAGACGTCGTCCGGTGCTCAGCTATAGTCGGTTCTAAGACAGAATTGCGGAATTACGGAGATGGCTCCGTCCCGTGATCAAGATGCGGGAAACGCGTCTTGAAGGGAGTTCCTAAGGCTGGCTGGCTGGAATGATCGCCTCGCCTCATCATCACCACCTCCAAAAGGTCCTCCTCACTGACTGGATCACTCAACGGACGAGGCTGGTCGCGTTTGTCTCGACTCGTCAGTGTAGGTCCTATTCAGAACATTGTGACGTCACTTTTCGAATTCGAAGGTCTCGAGGAACTGCATTCTGGTAGGTTTGCTCTTGAGTTTGTTTGGCAATCAAGAAGGGTCGTACCCTCCACTCAACAGAATACACAAATTGCTCCTCGGTTCGATCCGAGCGAACATGAACAATGAAACACTCCCTTCTCCGGACCAGCATTACCTAGCTTCCAGAAGGTTTGGTTTTACCCGAGCCTGCGTCTTCGCCTTTTGTTCTCCAGCTAAGCCAAACGTGACCTACACATCACACTGGACCGTCGCCAGCAGGGCTGGTTCGGCATGCACGAGAGAGGTGCGGCGAAAAATGGTTGTGCGCGCTGGCGCTGACATGGATGTTGCGGAGACAAGCTGTCGATACTCTGATCTGGCACAATGCTATCCCCGATATGAGACGCCTTTTTGAATTCAAACATCAGCGAGTGTATCCATTTGAAAATCGTTTCTGTTACAAAGGGCGTTGGATCTGTCCAGTTTTCACAGGCACATCCTCGTCAGTATCAGGGCACTTTAAGCATAGCATGGCGAAGCGCCCTGGTAGCCCTGCCATTTATAATCTCCAGTCCAACTTATTACCTAAGTTCGATTCGCGTGTAACTTCTCCTCTACCGCGTAAGTAAGCCCACGTTCCTACAGGCCGTCGGTTTCTTGCTTGAATTCAGCCTTCACTCAGACATCCGTGCCATTCGCACATTGCAAGCCAACAGTAGCTTGTGACAGTAACTACCTGTGACAATAACGGAGGGTTAGGAGCAACCATGTCGAGCATATACGTGCTCGAGCCGCCGACGCAAGGCAAGGTGGTGGTTACCACCACGTTGGGCGATCTCGATATCGAGCTCTGGCCTCGTGAAGCCCCGAAAGCGGTGAGATTTTCCTTTCCCTGCAGCAAAATCCTGGTAACCAGTAACACTCCGGCATTGGGTGGTTACCATCAGCACCTTGGGTGAGCGTGAAGCCGCCAAACGCGGTGAAATTTCGGCTTCCCGGCAACGCTAATGTGGTAACCAGCTCTGCTGTAGCGCAGTACCGATGTGGTAACCAGTACCATTGTAACAGCTGTTGGTTACCATCACTGTAGTAACCACAACCAGTGCCTCGGGTGACCTGACCTTGATATGTCCTTGCTTACTCGTAAAGCAAAGCAAGCAGCATTCAGATTCCTCCATCCATCACAGTGACCATAAGAAACTGTAAGACCGCCTTGTGCGACCTTGATATTGAACTGGCAGGGTGATTGAAATGCGATCACGTGAAGCCCCAGAGTGCTGAGTATAATTCCATCTTTTTCCTCCTTGTTCCACCTTCCGCCTCTCTGCCTCTCACCCCCCATCACCTCATCACTCTTCATCTCCCCTCATCATCCCTCATCCCTTCCCAATCATCCCCCTGTCAGGTGCGAAATTTCGTGCAGCTGTGTCTGGAGGGGTATTACGACAAAACCATCTTTCACCGCATCATAATTGGCTTCATGGTGCAGGTGAGTCCTGGTGCAGGTGATAACTGGTGCAAGTGATATCTGAAGGGTACTACGACAAAACCATCTTCCACCGCATCATAATTGGCTTCATGGTGCAGGTGCGACCTGGTGCAGGTAGCACTCGGTGCAGGTGAGATTCGGTGCAGGTGAGATTTGGTGCAGGTTACACCTGGTATAGGTGAGATTTGGCCCAAGTAACACCACGTGCAAGCAAAACTGGTTCTGAAGTAGCTCACAACTCGTTACCCACCGCATGATCACGGGCTCATGGTGCAGGCGAATGAGATTCAGATTCAGCTGCGCCTCATTCATTCATCAACCTCATCCGCCTTTTGAGGCGCCTCAAAAGTCGGCTCACAACTCGTTTCCCACCGCATGATCAGATCAGTGGCTCATGGTGCAGGCGAATGAGATTCAGATTCAGCTGCGCCTCATTCATCAACCTCATCCGCCGCTCCCTCTCCTCTCACATTCGAGGGTGGAGACGGAGAACTACTGACAGGATCAGGCACGGGGGTCGGGGTGAGTCCATCCACGGGGAGCCTGTCAAGGGCGAGTTCCTCTCACACCTGCGCCTCACCCTTTGCCAGTCCTTACGTTATCCACACGCATCTCCTCCCATGCTCCAGGGAGGCGGCCCTACAGGATCAGGCACGGGGGTCGGGGTGAGTCCATCCACGGGGAGCCTGTCAAGGGCGAGCTCCACTCGCGCCCCCGCTTCTGCCCTGGCTAGTTCATCTTACCTTCTCCACTCTCCATCTCCTCGCATTTGCAGGGAGGCGACCCAACCGGGTCCGGGACAGGGGGCGAGTCGATCTACGGCGAGCCGTTCAAGGACGAGGTCCACTCGCGCCTGCACTTCTCCCTAAGCTAGCTCTCTCTCTAATCTCACCCTCTTCTCCGCATCTCCTCCCACACCGCAGGGCGGGGACCCCACAGGATCCGGGACAGGGGGCGAGTCGATCTATGGAGAGCCTTTCAGGGACGAGTTCCATTCTCGCTTGCGCTTCTCCCACCGCGGCCTTGTGGCGTGTGCCAATGCGGGTGCGCCCCACAGCAACGGCAGCCAGTGGTTCTTCACTCTGGATCGCTGCGACTGGCTGGACAAGAAACATACTATCTTTGGCAAGGTGGGTGGGTCACCAGCTTTGGTAAGGTGTGCTGGTATGGCAGGCGTGTATGTGCAGTGCAGGCATGATAGCACTGGTGCGTTGTGTTGAGGAGGCAATGTGGGCATGCCTCACAGCAACGGCAGCCAGTGGTTCTTCACCCTGGACCGGGGACAAGAAACACACTATCTCTGGCAAGGTGGGTGAACAGGCATGGTATGACAGGCATGTGTGGGCGGGTACGAGTGCTGGTGCATCGAGGCGCCAACGCAGGCATGCCCCACAGCAACGGCAGCCAGTGGTTCTTCACTCTGGACCGCTGCGACTGGCTGGACAAGGAACATCCTATATATGGCAAGGTGGGTGGGTGGGTTGCTGTTTCTAGCAAGGTGCGCTGGGCATGGCATGACTTGGCATGGCAGGGGTGTATGGGCAAGCAGGCATGCTTGTACTGGTGTGTTGAGGCGGCAACGCGGGCGTGCCCCACAGCAACGGCAGGTGGGTGCATGGCATGGCATGGCATGGTGGTATGGTATGGTATGGTATGGTATGGTATGGTATGGTATGGTATGGTATGGTATGGTATGGTATGGTATGGTATGGTATGGTATGGTATGGTATGGTATGGTATGGTATGGTATGGTATGCATGGACAGGGAGGCATGCATATGACTATCAGCAGGAGTTGGCCTGAGTCAGCATGAGTCAGCATGATTCAGCATGAGTCAGCCTGGGTCAGCATGAATCTACATGCGTCTGCAAGAGCAATTGTATGAGTCAGCGCCCTTAACCCTCCCTCCCCAACCCTCCGCAGCTCCCCCTGGCAGATCACAAGAGACAAGACGCCGCCTTCAATGTGGTGCAATTGGGGGTGGTGGATGGATAGTTTTTGAGGCGTCTCAAAAACACCCTCTCTACACGTGCCCAACCCTCCCCTGCTCCGCCTGGCAGATCACAAGAGACACCATCTTAAATGTAGTGCGATTGGGGGTGGTGGATGGATAGTGACGCCAATCACAGACCCCTTTCCCCCCTTATTTTTCAAATTTTCCCCTCATTCCTCTGCCTCACACCTGGCAGATCACAGGAAACACCATCTTCAACGCGGTTCGACTGGGGGAGGGTGTTACTACTGATGGCTATGACAGACCTCTTTCCCCTGCTTCCCTCTTTGTTACTACTGTGTCCCTCTCCCTCCTCCCTCAACCCCCCCTCTTCACTCGCTCATTTTCACACACACCTGGCAGATCACAGGGGACACCATCTTCAATGCGGTGCGACTGGGGGAGGTGGATACTGATGACAACGACAGGCCGTTTGACCCACCATCGATTATCAGCGTGGAGGTGAGTCAGCAAAAGCCAGCATGAGTCAGCATTAGTCAGCATGAGCCAGCATGAGTCGACATGATTCAGCATGAGTCAGCATGTGTGAGCTTGAGTCAACATGAGTCAACATGATTCAGCATGAGTCAGCATGAGTCAGCATGAGCCAGCATGAATCAGCATCATGCGAGATGTGTTCCTGAAAGGCAGCTCGTGTGCAATGGAAAAGGTATCTTGTCTCATGGTGTACTGTCGTCTCTTTGCTAACTAACACGACCCATCCTACTGCTGCCATGCCCTTCTTCACGGGCAATGATCCTTGGGTATCCTGACTCATGAGCCCTAAACCCCTGCTTTGTTCTCAACGATGTGATGCAGCCCTCTCTTGATTGTCTCTGGCTGGACCTTGACCATTGTCTCAATCAACAACACATTGTCATCGCATCCTTTCTCAACAACCCGCCCTCCCTTTCTTGCATTGCAGGTCATTTGGAACCCATTCGAAGACACCGTTCCCAGGACACTGCCTGCAAGACAGCAGCAGATTGTCTCACACAACTCAAGGCACTGTCATCACACACCCTCTTTGAAAAGCCCTCCCTCCCTTCCATTGCAGGTCATCTGGAACCCATTCGAAGACATCGTCCCCAGGACACTGCCTGCAAGACAGCAGCAAGAAACCATGGCGAAGAGCCGGGGCAGGGACAAAGAGAAGCGGCGGCAGCAGCAGTCTCAGGTCAAAGGAACCAAGTAAGCTGAGCGAAGCATTTGAATAGGCGCTTAGACCAGAATTGCAACCCGTGAGCACAATGTAGGGACAAGGTAGGGAGAAGAAGAAGCGGCGCAGCAGCAATCGCTCGCAGATCCAGGGAACCAAGTAATCTGTTGAGCTGCCTTTGTAGGCGATTTTTGAGGCGCCTCAAAAAGCTGCCTTTGTAGACGACCAAATAGACCAAATATTTCTGCCCTAACCAGTCAATGCCAAGACGAGCCAGGGCATGGACAAGGAGAAGCGGTGGCAGCAGCAGTCTCAGTCAAAGGAACCAAGTAAGCTGAGCGAAGCCAAGCGTTATGATGGTCCCGAAGTAAGGCATAAAAGTGCCAGGTAAACCAGGCATGTTGATGATACTCTTGGTCTTGGCCTGTTCTTGGCTGTGTTGCCGTTCTCTTAGCCAACTTGTATGTGTTTTCACGTTGCCATTGAACTGCCTGCTTCACCCCCTATTCTTGCTCACCAGGCAGTTGAATCTCCTGTCGTTTGGAGAGGAGGCGGAGGAGGAGGAGGCTCAACTGGAGGAAGCTAATTTGAGGATGAGGAGCAGTCACGATGTGCTCAAGGACCCTCGCCTGCTGGCTGTGAGCATTGGGAGGGGGTGTTTGGGAAAAAAGGGAGATGGAGGAGGGATAGGATGGGGAAGCGAGGGAGGAGGCGCAACTGGAAGAAGCGAATTTGAGAATGAGGAGCAGCCACGATGTGCTCAAGGACGCTCGCCTGCTGGCTGTGAGTGAATAGGGGATCATGGGAGGAGGGGAATTTAGGGGGTTTCAACTGGACGAGCTTCAGCTGGGGAAGGCTCAGCTGGGGGGAGGAGGCTCAGCTGGGGAAGGCTCAGCTGGGGGAGGCTAATCTGGGGATGTGAATCAGGCACGGCTTTGGAGACTTGAACTGGAGGTTATTGCTAGATTTTGTAGTCACTCAATTGAAATATATTCCTGATTTTAGTCAAAATTCTCTCCCCTCAAACGGTCCTTGGTATTAATGCGGGTGTTAATCACTCTCCTCTCCTACCCAGGAAAGAGCAGCAGCAGTTCAGAAGAAGCTGGCCAGACGGGGAGGTAAATCAGAGATTCTAAGGCTTCTCAGAATATATTTTCCCCAATATGTTCCTTTTCTCATTTTATTATCAGGAGACAGCAGAGGCTGTTCAGCAAAAGCTGGCCGGACGGGGAGGGGACGCAGAGGGGGAAGAGGAAGACGAGGAGAATGGGCGAAGAGAAGGGGGGAGAGAAAGGGAGAGGGGAGGGGGTAGAGAAAGGGAGATGCTTGTTAGAGGGAGAGATGGTGGCAGACAAGGGGAGGGTGCTGACGGTGAGGGTGGGAGCAGGAGAGGCAGGAAAGGGGAAGAGACGGGTGGAAAGAGGGGGAATAAGGGCAGTTCAGTGGGTCCTGAGGAAGTAAGGGGGAGGGAGAGAGGAGGTGAGGGAGAGGGGGAAGGTGATGGTGAGGAAGCAAGTTTTGATGAGCTGATGAGGAGAAGGGTGTTGGAAAAACAAAGACGGTTTGGGAAGCATGGGGTTGCGAGTGAGGGGGGGCGGAGAGGGGAAAAAACAGGGAGAGGAGGAGTGGGAGATGGAGGGGAGAGGGAGGGGAAAGGTGCAGCGAGGATCCAGGATGGGGCTGGCACCAGGGAGCAGGCAAAAGGGGGACGAGCGAAGGAGGAACGAGGAAAAGGGGAGGAGGATGATGAGGATGGGAGTGGTGACAGTGATGGTAGTGATGGGAGTGATGATGAGGAGGGAGGGAGAGGAGGGAAGGGGAGGGTGAGGGTGGAGAAGCTGCGATTGAGGAAAGGGGCGAAGGGAGTGGGGAAGGGAGGAGGGGAGGGGGGAGGAGGGGGAGGTTCAGCGGGAGGGGGTTTGCTGGGGGAGGAGGAGGAGAGGCGGCAGCAGATGAGGCAGAGGAAACGAGCTCTGGGGTCCAGACAAGAGAAAGTGAGTGAGAGTGCTGAAGGGTTGGGCAGTATTTCTTAGGGTGCATGGAAGTTTGAATCGACTCAAAAAACGGTTTCCTGGGTCGCGTGGTTTGTGGTGGGAAGTCGGCTGTCATGGACTTGTGGCTTGTTTAGAGTCGACTCAATGTTTCGAGTCGACTCAAAACGTGGCTGGTGGGAAGTCAGGCTGTCATGGACTTGTGGCTTGTTTAGAGTCGACTCAATGTTTAGAGTCGACTCAAAACGTGGCTGGTGGGAAGTCAGGCTGTCGTGGACTTGTGGCTTGTTTAGAGTCGACTCAATGTTTCGAGTCGACTCAAAACGTGGCTGGTGGGAAGTCAGGCTGTCGTGGACTTGTGGCTTGTTTAGAGTCGACTCAATGTTTCGAGTCGACTCAAAACGTGGCTGGTGGGAAGTCAGGCTGTCGTGGACTTGTGGCTTGTTTAGAGTCCACTCAATGTTTCGAGTCGACTCAAAACGTGGCTGGTGGGAAGTCAGGCTGTCGTGGACTTGTGGCTTGTTTAGAGTCGACTCAATGTTTCGAGTCGACTCAAAACGTGGCTGGTGGGAAGTCAGGCTGTCGTGGACTTGTGGCAAGGAATAAGCTCATGGAAATGGCGTTAGACCGAGATGGATTGCCCCCGGTGCATTTATGAGTTGACTTTTGAGTCGAGTTCACTTTTGAGGCGAGTCAAAGTTGACTTTTGACTTTTGAGTCGAGTCAAAAGTTGACTTTTGACTTTTGAGTCGACTCAATAGTCAACCCGAGATGGATTGTCCCCGGAGCATTTATGTTATTACAACGGTCACAAAGTTGTGATTCGACGTTTCAGAATTAGCTTTGCGTTAGTATAACCTTTTTTGTCTTTTGTTATTGCTGAACTCCGTATACGAACAGAGTGCTGTGATAAAGGTAGTGTTTTGAGACGTCTCAAAACACTACTTTTACCATGTGGCTTTGCATTAGTTTGACCTTTTTTTTCTACTGTTATTGCTGAACTTCGTATACGAACAGAGTGCCTGGATCTTAGAGCTGCATGCGTGTTGGCCTTTTGGAATTTCATTTTGCCATTCCGTTTCCTCTCCATTGTCCCTCCCTCTTCCCTGGCTCGACCCTCCTTCATCCCTCCCTCATCCCTCCCCCAGACGCTTGAGCTTGTGAACCGCTTCAAGTCCAAGCTAGCGGCTTCCAAGACAGTGCAGCCGAGAGAAAGGCTAACTTCCCAGTATTGCAACGCCTCACAACCCCGCCCCACCCCCTCCCCACCACACCCCACCCCTTTCCTTCCCCGTCCCTCCCTCCCTTGCCTCTCCTTTGTCCCTCTCCCAGACGCTTGAGCTTCTGAACCGCTTCAAGTCCAAGCTAGCGGCTTCCAAGACAGTGCAGCCGAGAGAAAGGCAAACTTCCCAGTATTGCAACGCCTCACAACCCCGCCCCACCCCCTCCCCACCACACCCCACCCCTTTCCTTCCCCGTCCCTCCCTCCCTTGCCTCTCCTTTGTCCCTCTCCCAGACGCTTGAGCTTCTGAACCGCTTCAAGTCCAAGCTAGCGGCTTCCAAGACAGTGCACCCAAGAAAAGCACGCACTGCCCAGTATTGCGAAGCCTCACAACCCCGCCCCACCCCCGCCCCCTCTCCTTCCTTCCCCGTCCCTCCCTCCCCCTCCCCCAGACGCTTGAGCTTCTGAACCGCTTCAAGTCAAAGCTAGCAGCTTCCAAAACAGTGCAGCCGAGAGAAACACGCACGGACGAAGACAAGGAGGAGGGTGCAGATGAGGGGAGAGCGGACAGAAGAGATAGGGAGAGGGAAGGAGAGAGAGGCAGGGACGGGAGTAACAGCAGCAAGGAGGGCAGCAGAAAGCGAGGGTTTGTTGGTTCAGAGGGGAAGGGACCGGGAGCGGCGGCATATGGGCCGGGGGGGAAGGCGAGGCAGGATGTGGGAGGGGATGGAGAGGAGGAGGACGAGGAGGGTGGGGGCGTTGATTGGATGGCTCACCGGCTGAAGTTTGAAGTGAAGAGGAACAAACGGGTGAGTTGTGGGGGGTGGGTGAGTATAGGGATTGGGGGGGAGATGCTTTCCTCCTCCCCATTCGCGATGAGATGACGACCGGGATCAGTACGCGGTGCACGTCCTTTGAGGCACCTCAAAAGGGATCAGTACGCGGTGCACGTCCCTCTGCTGGATGAACCCACGCCTTCTCACTCGTGCCTGTTTCCGCTACTCCTTTGCCTTCTCTGCCTCTCCTACGTCCTGTGCATGCCCCTTCTCCATCCCCATCAGGACGAGATGCTTCGCAATGATGACCCGGATCAGTACGCGGTGCACGATCCGCTGCTGGAGAAGGGAAAGGAGAAGTTCAACAAGATGCAGGCCAGGATGAAGAAGAGAAACCGAGAGTGGGCGGGCCGGTCGCTGGACTGATTTGGATCGGTACGGAGGATGTTTGAAAGAGTTTGACTGGGTGTTGGCGATCAGTACGTTACGCGGTGGATGACCCTCTGTAGGAGAAGGGCAAGGAGAAGTTCAACAAGATGCAGGCCAAGATGAAGAAGAGAAACAGGGAGCGGGCTGGCCGGTTGCTGGACTGATGGAATGAGGGTATCCCAAATGCCGACATCAATCACAGATTTTTAAGTCAAGAATCTCATTTCCCACGCATGAATAGCAGCTGTTATTTCCCGGATGGCGAGGTGGGCTCGGCCCCTGGTGCTAACAATGAGGCTGGCACAGATGCTGGCACTAATACCTAATAGTGGAGTATTGCAGTGGAGGCGAAGAAGCATTATTCAGCAGCGCTCTCTCACTGATGCTGCACCAAGCGGTTGGGGGTTATCGAGGCTTTGTCGAGTGCTACCGTACTACTACCGTTCTACGTAACCCAGCGGACCGAATTTGTGTAACATTTAGTTGGAACCTTTAGCACATCAATGTAGGCTGGCCTTTTCTCTGTACCAGTATAGGGAGGTTTCCCACTATACCGCATGATGGAAGTGTGGTACGGTATCGGACCTGCAATGCCGATCCACTCCGCTAAGGTCATTGAAATTAATCACAACAGGAGTATTATTTTGAGGGGGAAATGCCTGATCCTTATGCTTCATGACCCAAAATACGAATACAGATTGCCCTTTCTTACCTGTGTTCAGGGCCTCAGATTCGTTTTGGGTGACCCTGAGCACTCAGGGTCCTTTGGGGCTGTAACACTGATCATCAGGGTTGTAAATGGAGAAACACTGATTTCTCAGGGTTAGAAAAAAAAAAACCCTGACACATCAGCGTGAGTTAAAAAAAAAACACTGGCGGTGAGAATCCACAACTATCACAAGTATAATAAGTTAAGAAAAGTTCAAATATGGTTCTAATGAGCTTCTAATCTAACTACAGGCACAGACCAATTGGCGCTCACACCGCACACACAATTCACATCACACACATGTCTTCATCTTCGTCACTACCACCACCATCGCTCATAGAACCGTGCCTGTGCAGGGGGGTCTCTGTCCCCCACCCAGAGCCAGCACCACCAGCATCATCCTCGTCCACCTTCTCTTTCCACTTAGCACGAGGTTGCTTCTTTGGTGCTGCCACTGTTGTGATGGGCTTGCGCTTCTTGTACGCCCTCCAGATATTCACCACCTCCGCCCAGTCGGGCTCGTATGGCAGCAATGCCATGCACATGAGGTCCGACAACCGCGCATCCTTGATGGCACCCCTCAGCCAGCTCTTGATGATGTTTTGACGCGAGAACCCCCGCTCGCACTCGACTGTGCTCAACGGTAGCACAGCGACAGCCATCCACAGCTTCACCAGGTTGGGGTACGCGTCCTCCCAGTCAGGAGACTTCAGCATCGCCGAGAGACCCGGGTAGAACTTTCTCTCGGACTTCGGGGCTCCAGCGAGAACCGTGCAGAACGTGCGGAGCTCCTTGAACGCCTTCTTCTTGTTGACACCTGGAGGGAGTCAGGGAGTGCGCAAGCACAAGGAAAAGAACAAGGTAAGCAAGGCTCACTAGACAAGTGGTGCCAGTGTTTAGGTGCTACACAACAAAGCAGCACAAACAACGATGCACAGACCAAAGAGAAGTACGTACTTGGAACAATCTCGTCGCTCTCTTGGGCCCTGAAGAGCATCGTGAGGGACTCTAGGTGCTCCGTGCAGACCATGGAACGCTCCTGCCGTCCATGGGGCCACTCGTCGGGCATGAACAGCTTCACACCGCTCAGCTTGTCGAGTGAACCCAATCGCTCATCCAGGTTATGCACGAGCGCCTCCGCCATCGCCGTGCACTGCTCCACGAATCGCTCATGGGTCCCTGCAATGGGGTAGCCTTCAAGGGGGGAATCATGCAGCACATAGCAGTGAGAAGTGGGCCGGCCGTCGGAGTCAACCCACTCGACCTCCACTCTCCGCACCCCATTCGGTCCATGTCGTGCAATGAAGGGCGACAGCTTCTTGCTCAGGCCGCCGCCGAAGTCGTCGCCACAATCCACATAACGGCTGTTGATGTGGGTTGTCGTGCGACGGATCTGGCCTTGAATCGCCAGCAGGTCAATCTGCCACACAAAAACAGTAGGGAAAGCACAGCCATGTTTCAATCATGAAGCAGAACTAGCCGTAGCTAGCGGCCCTAAACCCACAGTCCTCACGGCACACAAGGATGCACAGGTAAAAGCAGGATCTCACCTGTCGATGCTGGAACGTCTTGCTGAGCACGTTCAGCTGTTCCAGCACGTCAGCGAGGAAGCGCAGCATGAACTGGAATCTGTAGCTGGTCACCATCTGGTACATGGGCTTGTTTCCCAGCTCGTGCACCATCACGACGACCCCCGGAAGGACCGCAAGGAGTCGGCAGACTGCATCGCCGCGTGAGAGCCAACGCACATCATTGATTCCTTGGAGCTCCAGGTTAGTCTGAGTGAAGACTTCCTGAAGGTCCAGGAAGCGCTGGTGCCAGGGTCCTGATGAGCCGAGGTAGGTGGAGAGCCAGCGGATGAAGCTGTCGACCATGCCAAACTCCGGTAGGGACTCTGCCGCGTCCTTGGCCGCGAGTGCTTCCCTGCGATTAAAACAAAAAACAGTCGCATTTGGTTAAGTAGAAGGAAGGACACCATGTTCAAATAACAAATATCAGTCGCATCGGACACTGCATCAACCACCGTACCTGTGAGCGATGCAGTGGCAGGACACCAGATGCGGAACGCGCGTCCTCAGCCTCGCCACCAGCCCGTTTTTGGATCCGACCATGACGCTCGCCCCGTCGGTGCTGATGCCCGTGATTCGGCGCAGGTCAATGCCGACGGCATTGACATGGGATAAGAGCAACGCCACCAGCGATGCGGCGTCTGCCCTGTCCACGGTTAGGAGGGCAAAGAACTTGGTGACTACTGCCCCGTCGCGGATGAATGTGGCATAGATGATGAGATGCTTCCCACGGCATCTGTCCGTAGACTCGTCACAGCTGAGGCCGATGTAGTGGCTTTGTAGGACGTGTTCGAGTTGTGTTGTCTGCAGCCACACGGCCGTTGCCTGTGTTAGTTCCCCAAAGCCGTACCTGCATAGACACCGAACATATTTGTTAGGCTTACGTGGTTGTGAACAGGAGAGGCTTTTAATGCATGCGCCCGTAAGCACTGACGTGGTGTAGTAAGTGCCGTATCCCTTTTTGGGAAAGCCGCGGACCTCGTTCTGAGCCATGTAGCGAACGAGGCGCACCCACGTCTCCATCGGCAGATGGTTCTGGGTGGTGAAGTGAAGGGAGTTCAGAAGGCTGATGACGCGGGTCGTCTCGTCATCTTTGGCGAGCGCATGCTCGTCAATTTGCGGCTGCTTCACAGCCTGAGCTAGCATCTGCTTCTGGTGATTGATGGCCAACTGGTGCTTGTTCGTCGCGGCATGCCGCTTGAAGGCTTGGGTCTGAAGATCGGTTGCACCGTGCCCACTCTTGCCACACTTGCCACCGTCACCTGCAAAGTCGATGCACAATCTGCACTTGAACGCAGGCATGCCAGCAGTGTTTTTTATGAGTATGAGCCATGGGTAGTCGGTCGACCACGTCGACTTGAACGTTTCAAGGGCCTCTTCGTAAATCAGAGTGGTTAGTGACGGTTTTTTAGAGTTAGATGGCGTGGGCGTAACGTGGTTTACCGACTCGCCGGCATCAGCGAGAGGACGTCCATGATCTGTAGGATCGGCCCAACGCAGCACGGCCTGCTTGTAACGAGGCGGAGGCTTCGACGACGACGCACGAGATGGCAAGTCTAGAACGAGATGATGACGAGATGCTCGGTCCGGCTGCTGACGGCACGGCCGGCTTAGCAGTATGCGCGGGCTGGGGACGATCGTCTCCGCGGCAGAGGCCAGACGCTTCACAAGTGTTTGCTACTGAGGCGACGGGACCTGGCTTCTCTTTTTCATGGGAGAGCGCGGAAACTAGAAAATCTAGTCCCGTTCTAGCCTCCAGCATCTCGGTGGCGGCGTAAAGTGCATCGTCGTCATCATCACCGCAGCTGTTCTCACCGGTGATCACCATGGCGCGTTCACGTCACCTTCCTGAATCGGTGAGTAGTAACGAGAAACCCTGGGAGAGAGAGAGCCTGCCGAGCAGGCTTCAGGGAGACTGCAGAGATTGATGTTTCGGAAAGGGATGGAGTCTGGAGAGCTGGAATGGCAGAATCACGAGACCCCCTGCGTGGGGTGCCTGAGCGGGCCGCCCCAGCACGCCCTGCCTTGGTGGAAAGAACAAGGCAGACCACTAGGCTTGGTTGTTTGTGCACATCAATGGAAAGTAATGACAAGTGCAGGTTATCCAACGTGACAACGGTACATTGCTTCAACTGGGACAGCCAATTTCTTTACGCCGTTTTGCCAACACAGCCCGAAATTAACCCTTTCAACTGTATCTGGGCGCGCCGCAGGGTGGCGTCGGTGCAAGGTGGGTTCATGCACGATGACGGCGCGCAAAACTGCGAGAATCACGGATTTTCCGGTTTCAGGGTCGTCTCCGATACAACACTGACTCGTAAGTGTCAACAAACTAGAAACACTGGAAAATCAGGATTAGGAAAAGAAAAACACTGATTCATCAGGGTTGTAAAAACAAAAAGGCTGATTCATCAGGGTTACAATTAAAAACCGAGGTCAAACATCAGGAAATCAGTGTAAAATTCCTGGAATCTAAGGCCCTGCCTGTGTTATGGGTTTTGTGAGCTTCCCGCTATGCTATTCAGTGTTTTCTTCGCGAATGACAAAATCTAAGCTTCTTGTGTCGGATACACCATGACTGGCGCCGATATAATTGCCCAATTATTTTTTGGATGCGGTTGGGATTTCGCAGTGGGCAGCGAAATCCCATCGTTGTAACAATTGACTCTGCAAACCCTCGCTGGACGGATTTCGCGGTGTGGAATAATGAGAACGATTAA